AAGTTACTTATGATATCATACGTGCTGCTCAGCTCCCTTATCTGCGTGACGGTTCTCCAGTAACCTTTTGTTACTGACTTTGGAGAGTAAGAAAACAGCAACAATCTCTGTTCATTGTGCAAAAGAAACATCTAGCAGAAAACTTAAACCACGAGGGACAAAGCAAAACTTAGCACTCATAAAAGGAGCTATCAAATGAGTGAAACACAACAAAAGGAGGGATACAATATTTACTTCCAATAAAATGAGACGTTTCAGGTATTATTTGTGAGTATTGATTAAAAGAAGTTTTAAAATGGGAAAAAATCTTTGTTGGAAAGACACTTCACTGTGTCTTAGCTAGCCCTCCTCAGAACTTTTCACAAAATGGATCTCTTCTTAGAGTAAGACATATCACAGACCATTTTCTCTACCACATATCAAGCAATAACGCAAATTAAAACTGAGGGACACAATACAGCTATGAATTTGCTGCAAGTGACTTGTTATTTTCTTCCTGTATCTTGTAAATGTGATTTTCAAAAATGTTTCTGTGTACCAGTGGTCGTATCTTCACTGGTCAAAAAAGCCATGTTCAAAGACCAAATGGCTGGCTTTCAGGACTTTATCTCTGTTAAAAAACAAAAACCCAAAAAAACCCAACAAAAAACCAACCAAAACCCAACACCAACTACCTCCCCCTCCAACATGAACACCCTTGATGCAACCAAGACAAGTCATTTATCCTGTTAATCCAGGTCGGCTTCAGATAACACGTGGAGGGATGGGAAACGAGATTCAAGGGACAACACTGTTTGGGATTCACTAAGAAACTAAAATAACTATTGCCCACCATTTCCACCAAGATTTGAACACAAGTGTATCTTGTTATTCAAAGATATATTACAGGGGAGAAAAAAACCCCCAAACCTTAAGTCCTCAGTAAAACTTCCAGCTTCACTAACATCATGGAATCTCAAAGAGTACGGAAGAATTCAAGACTGCACTGGTTTTTAATGATGCATTCCTCAGTTTCTAGAGAATGTCACAAATCTGACAGTAACACAGGTTTGTATTGGAGTACATGCAAATTGACTGAAAAAATCTTTTATTGAAAAATAGTAATAGTGTCCTAGGAAACTAATACTTTCCTGGAACACTGGAAGTTGTCTTGACTAAGCTGATGAAAGGTGTCAAACATCAGCTAAAAATAACTTTAAAAAAAAAAGGAATCACAGGAAACCAAAATAATATTTCAAACCCAGTAACTATTCAGTACTCCAAGTGCTTATATTTTATGCAATAAGAGCAAATATGAAAAAACGTGAAGCAAACCCAAGTGATTCAGCAAACAGTGACAGACTGGCCATATGTCTTTGCAGATTCTTCATTGAGTAGGGGAGTTTCCACAATGTCACTCAAAAGTTGGTAAGTCCGGGGCAACAGAACAGAGAATATGAGATGTACTTCATAAAAAAGGACAAAAGAATGGAAACAATGAACAGAGAGCACATTCCAGGTATGCAGAACTACCAAGAAAGCAGAGATAACAGAAAGGTAAGTTGGAAAGCACAACTGAGCAGAGTAGCAAGGAAGCAGGGCTGTATCTGGTCCTCAGACAGGGATCTCCATTCAGTGCTAGAAACAAGCAGCAGATACAGAATGAGCAAGCATATACAGAGGAACTTATCATGTAAACAGCTGCGTAGTATGCTGATCTTACCAGCAAATACCCTAATATTAGCAGCAGACAAATAAGAAATTTTCCAGTCTTAGTTCAAGAGAGTAGTCTGCACATCCAAGAATAATGCCATTAGTACCTCACCATTATTTGTCTCTCTTTCTCTCTCTCTCCTTCCATTGTACACTGGAAGGCAAGAAATTTGTTACCTAACATCTAACCAATTTTATGATTTATGCAATAGCTGACTGACATCTACTTTAGGTGAGACATTGCTGACAACCAGGTGGTAACTGCAGGAACATGGAAGGAGAGCTACTGGGGATAGAGAAAAAGTCAAGTCACTCAATCTCTTAAGAGAGGTAGGCATCTTTAAGGTGTTAGCAGATAATTGATGATGGTGAGCATAAGTAATTGGACAGATACTTGACGTTTTCAAATTCCCTGGATGTATCAATAGCTCTTGTTTATACACAGTAAATATGGAAGTTATAATTTTTCCTTCAAATACCTTTGACTTGGACATTTTTAGAATTATAATAAAATACATCCTCATTCAAACAAGAGGAGTCTTTTCCAGTACTTGCTACAAAAGATGAAGCTGAGCAATCATTTAATCTTTCCAGGAGGTATTTAAGTGTTAAGGCCTCCATACATAACACTTTGAGTGTTCGTGACGCTACAGGATACTACAGTATCATGGCAGAGAGATAAAAAATGGCAAGGACACAATGTTCGCCCAGTACCAAAAAAACATGACCAAAGATATGAATACAACCATGGAACTGTATCCAGGTTACGTGGACAAAAACGTCAAGAAGGAAGAGAAGGTTGGGCTGGGTGCAGGATGTTGGACTAGATGACCTCCACCAGTCCCTCCCAACCTATTTGATTCTGTGATTAAGAAAAGCTCAGAGATCCAGTTAAAAGCAAAGGAACATTTCTCAAGTTTTTTTAATCCATATAAAAGAGATACTTCATCAGAGGCAAGCTTCAAGAATGCTGGTATAATACAATTTCTTTACAAAAGGAAGACCTTGACAATCCCTCTCTAAAATAGACCTAGTCTTCCCAGAATTAAGAGCACTGATTATTTGAAGATTTTATTTTCAATATTTCTTAAAAGAACATCTAAAATTTAGCAAGAAAAGCTATTATTCTTCCCCCAAGCACAGCTTTATCATCATGAAAGCAGGTAATTCCTCTAAACTTGATTAATTTTATTCACAAAGAAAGGACGTGTCAAAAAGAAAAAGTTAACCCAAGAAATGTTTGTTCTTTCTACAGATTTTTCCCAGATTCCCTAGGTTGACTATGAGCTGATAGGATGTACAGATTGGGATTTCAATAACAGCATCATTGGAGAAGACGGACAACATTTGCCTCTATAGTACAAGGCCTCAAGAAGCATTTAGAAAACAATTTCCAGAAGCAATTCTCTAAGCACCTTCTTCCACATGTGGCTACTCGCTACATTTTTGAAGTGACACATGAAAAGACAGAAAATACATTTAGATGATACAACATGAATAATCTAGTATTATAGAACTTTTAATTTGACATGATTGCATAGTTTTCTATCCACCAGATCACTCTAACATAGCTTGACTCATTAGCAAGCGCAGACTAATAAAACTGATCCCAGGCAGGTGAGTATACAAGGGAGCCTGGTATGAAGCCAGTTTAAATGTAACTGGAATCCTGATTTTTGCATAATTCCTTTCATCAGTTCCCACCCCAAAGAAAGCAGAGTGACCACTACATATACATTTAATGGATTATCAATAAGGTCGCTTTGAGTTTTTGCAGCTTTTTAGTGTTTTAAGCCAGAATTTCCAGAAGTTCTAAAAATCTGATCTTATTGAGTTAAGTATGAAACCGATCCCAAAGTTCTTCATTTGTTGCATATTTCTGAGTTGGCAACAGGAAGAAGTTACTGTGGAAGAGCGAACAATTGTATGACAGGGCTTCAGGCATACATGAAAATACAGAATACACTTTTGGCATTCAGTAAGAAAAACATCCCTTCCGAATGACCTAATTGTGGCAGAAGATACGGTGTTTCCAACTGGTGTGGAGGAGTGTGATTCTCTGTTTATTCCCTTGTATGCCAGCAATTCTTAAAGAATTTTTTTCTCTTCCTTCATAATAGGATCTAATATTGATCGACGAGATCATTATGTGGTTAATGCTCTGTACATGAATCAAAAGATTACACCTCAATTAAAATGCTTCAGTTTTAGAGCTGCACTGATATTGTCAAACAAGGAAGTATTTTTTCCAGGGTGTCAGTACTATTTCTAAGATCTGAGGTTTCTGTTTTGAAGATGATCATCTCAGGAGAATTAGTAACATACAAATTTTATGGTACTCTTCAGAATGCAATAGTACACCAGTACTCACTGCTTCCAAACACAGGATACTTTCTTTTATTCTGTTTTTCTTGCCTAATGCATATAGTGTTTTTCTTAGAAAAACAAAGTACAGTACAAGCCAATATAAACATTGTCCTAAGAACCGGTAGATTAAGAATACTGTTAGCAATAGCAAGCAAGCAGCTCTCTGAATATATCCATAAGTCCACCCTTTCAGAGATTCACTCTATATTCAACTTCTTAAGAGCCTAAAAGAAGTCTGCATTAAACTGTTTATTATGCTTCATATTTTGACCAATTTTCTTTTGGTCTGAGCTTTGGAGGCTTTTCAGAATTGTTGTTTCCTATACAGAAAATGTATCTGTGCAGGAGCCTGTTAAATGTCAAAATGGAATAATTACATATTATATCCCCATAGCAATTATTTTGTTAGTCTAATCTATTAAATAATTCTATTATACTGTACATGCTTAAAAATCATAAATATTTCAAGTGACTTTTTATTAACTGATTACAGATGTCCTTCTTTAAGACCATACCTGTTTAAACAAACTGATAAGAACATTCATATGAACAGTACTTAAAAGTCACAAACTACTACCTTAGATATAATGGGAGGTTTGCTTTAAATACACATCTTGATGACATCAGGACTGGAACAGCAGTATCCTCAAGAATGCTAAACAAGAAGGTTGTTTTCAATGCAGAAAAACGTGCAATGAATTCCTCATTTGCTTTTAAATATTGATATAAAGTTGTGGTAATGCAGCAACTCTTAAAATCTATGGTAGGGTCATGACCAGAGAAGTGGCTCAAAAATGTGTATGACAGAGCTTGGGGTTTGTTTTTTTTTTTTGATTGCTTTTCTTTTTTAGAATGCCTTTATGTAGCAAAAAGTTCCTCTGCTAGCCTAATTTAACGCTTTCATTTTTCTAATTATGCTGAAACATCAGTTAAGAGCCTACCTGATGTTTTGGAGAATTTGCTGTGCTGGGATTGATATTCCGCAATGCCTAAGAGTAAAAATAAGATGGATAAAAATTACTTTAGCTGCATGGTTTGCCTATGCAGGCTGTCTTATAAACACCATCTTGTAGTATCAAGCCCCCAAGACAGGCCAGATGAGACAGGATAAGGGAGTTAAGAAACTATGAAAATCACGACACAGTGAAACAAAACTCAGATTTACCAAGGATGCATATTTGACAGATAAGCTTAACGACCAGGGAGAACAACATGAAGGGAACTGGCTGTCACCTGGTCCAAAGTTAGTCAGGTTCTCAATGACAACTGAGGCAAGAAGACAATTAGAAGGCCTACCTAGAAGCATGCTAGCACAGGGTAAAATGTTTGTTGGTGGATTAATAGCGAAGCAGGAACAGCAGAAGCCCAGGTGCTTAAGCGGAGAGAAAGTCCTGATGCCACCTTTGCAATGTATTCTTACCTAGAATACTAAAAAGTAACGGCTGTAAAGATGACCCATCTTACACCAAGAGATGCTGAAGATTCCTACAAAACAGGCCTTGACTACAAAGGGGATAACAGGAATCAGATTCCAGGACAGAATACTGCAGGCGATGAAGAAAGAGAAAAGCTGTCTTTGAGGACATTAAGATATTATCCTCTCCTGATACAAGGCCCATCACCCAAAGTGAAAAGGGAACAGGGTAAGATTTTAGAAGGTTTTCCTTGAAGAAACGATTAGTGCTTTCTCTGGTAGCGTCAAAAAAACAATGAATATCCTAAGTATCTAGCACAGACGGTAGTAACTCTTGAAACATTCAGATGGAAAAATCGAAGCAGAAGGCTTAAAGGCAAAAGGAAGTCAAGCCCGAATTCAAAATCCAGAGACTCCAGTGTCCAGTCCTACACTTCAACATTTGCTACAGCTATATTCATAGAGTAGAAAAATACTGAAAAGGAATAGCTTGCAGCCTAATTATGAAGTTTGAAATTCTTCAGCATAAGAAAACCACAGGTTCAAAATGCAGCACGAGTGATTCAGTTTTTCCGTGCTCCACTCCACTGTTTAACAGATAAGATTTTAGCAACAAGGTGTCTCCTCAATGAATCTTATTTAAACTTTAAAAGTACTTTGAAATCCTACAGACTGTGGCAGGTTCTAAAGTGAAAGACTCTCCTCCACTTAAAAGGGAGGACTAAAGCAGCTGCGGGAACCAACTTCTTGTCTTTTTGCATGACTCAGAACTCAATGAATATGAAACATATTCTCAAGAGGAATATCCAATCATATCAACAGTGCATGATGTCATCCTAATAGTAAAGAAGCCTGTTCTTGGAGAGTTTTGTTAGAGAGAGGAATGAGGGAGGAAAGAAAAATCCTTCAGTCTGATAAGTCAGACACTTTCACTACCAACCTGATATCAGTAACAGAACGAATTCAGACCTTTTTAGATCTCAAAGGTTTTTGTACAGTCACCGGTCTTTAAGACTCACTGAAACAACAACTTAGCCAAAACGAAACATAACATAACATACAAAAGAAATAGTGGAAGTAGGTGTCTAACCTGTGGCCTCACCTGCCGAAGCAGTTCTTGATGCTTCAGTCTCAGCCTTTCCTTCTCCATCTGTAGCTGCTGAAGTCTCATCTGTTGTTGCTGATTGGAGCTACTCCCACCCATCACACCACCTTGGGGACTCTGAGGAGCCAGAGGGGGTGGCTGTTTCACTGGAGCACTCTGGCTGATTCGCTGATTCATGGCTAAGGAATCAAAACAACGAACATTTAAAAACGAAATTCAGACAAATACATGCAAGGAAAATATTATCCTTAGAAGGCATATATTAAAAACTCTATAAAATTACAAACCATGATACTACAAAACATGCAGCTACACTGATGTTCAGTGTGAAATGTATGCTCACGTGCTATTCCTGTGAAACCAATGCAACAGTCTCATGTTTAAGAGTACATACTTGTCCTAAAAGCTTCTGGAAACAGTTAAATGTGTAAGTTGGTGAAAAATTCAAAAGCGGTAGTAAAATATTTCAAGTTTAATTAGAAGGATCTCTCTCTCTCTCTTCTTCCTAATAAACTATTCTCAATTTGGACACAAATAATACAAAATCACTCTTCTTATTCATGTATAATCTTAGAATCATTAAACTCGAGAACACATCGAATGACAAACCAGATCATCTCACTTGCATCAAACTACATTTGGTTAAAGGCTACCATTCTTCCCAACACAGTGCAGGTCATGCAACAATCATTCACATCCTTGTTCCATCAAGTTTTGAGTGTTACAGATGCCATTTAGGGCATTTTGACATGAAAAATTAGAGCTGGTACAGAAATGACAGATGAATTATACAGCCAAAAATCCTTCATCAACATAGGAAACATTTTGCTAGTGCTTTGTTTTCTTTTACCCCACAGAAGTATGTGATGCATCTTTTCTAGGGCGTGGAGAAGAAAAAGTGACATCTGGTATGCCTAATGCACAATGAGAACCCATCTCCCTTTCCCCCATAAAAGCAAGACCTAAGACAATTCTATTTTATAACATAATGCATGGCTGGGATGCATCTACTTGACAGGCCTGATTTTACCCCTACACAAGACCAGTGTGGTTAAAGTCAACAGAGGCACTGGAGTTCCCATAGTGAAAGAGAGGGCTGGGAAATGCTGAATGTATTACAAGGGCACTATTTTCAGGGGCTTTCAGTTTTGGAATTAGCTCTCCATCTTGTTGTCTGGAACAGCCTGAATCTGTTAACATTCACAATATACTGCAGAATGCATTTGCTGAAGCAGTAAAGGGACAGTGGTAAGGATTTTTTTTTTTTTCCCTGGGAATGAAGATTATAGTTTATGGGAACTAAGAAAAAAAAGGGAGTGAGCTTCTTTTAGGATGACAGGCTGATTTGGTGCAAAGAAAACCATCTGTTGTATTAGTCTGAATTAATGTTTTCATCATATATAGAGGATTCCTGGAACACTAACACTTCTAACTATACTAAGAAAGGAGAATTCTCATAAAGAATCTGTATCATCTTTTCTCTGAAAAGCCCTTCAGTCTCCACTGTCAGTTCAGCTTAAGGTACAGTAGTGCTTTTCTTCTGTTCCAAGAAAGCCTAAATATATTTATCTCATAATAGCAGTAAAAATGGCTGTTGCTTCACAGCCTTGCTCCCTTTTCCCCTTGCCACAGCTCATCTTTCCATTGAGAGGTAACATATGAAGAAGAAATGCCATACGCTCATTGGAGTGCAAACAGAAAAGAAAAAAAAAAGTCAAAACCAGTTACAGACTCAACTCTCTAGTCTACCCCTTCAACTATACCAAAAGTCCAGCACAGAGTCAATAGTCTAATGGACAGGTGGGTCACATTTTCATGAGTCACGTCAAAATAAAATGAAGCGTCAAATAGTTTGAAGTAATTTGAAATAATCTTTTATGTAGTTACTTGTGAGAGAGCTTCATACATATGATCACAAATAAGATAAAACTTCCTGTAAAGGTAAGCAAACAGGTGAAGTAGGAATTGAAACTGAATCCCAATACCAAGTAGAAACAATAGAGTGAATACAAAGGGCTGGAGGTTCAACTCCAACCTGCAAGTCCCATCCTGACCCAGCAGGGAAAAAAAAATAGCAGGAAGATGATGCTGCTGTGGTTTAAAGCTTAAAATCAAGGAGCTGATCTTATGAGACATCCAGCACCACTTCCCCATCAAAACTGAACTTCGGGAAGGTGACCAGGATGAGCCTATCGACCAGCTTTGTGATGTGAGCTGTGGTCCCTATGCCAGCAACAGGAAGGGACAGGACAGCTTGTTCCTCTGCTGAACAGACACAGAAGGTTCGTATGTCCCAAGACACCAGAAACTGTTATGCAAAAGTTTCAACAACACCAACAGCTGTCCTACAAGGATGAGAGCAGGGAACTGTAATTACAAGCTCCAGGACCTCCACTGGGCAATCTCTGCTGGAAGACTGACAGCATTTAGACTACCTACGTTTACCGAATTAGGGCAAAGTTGAAGCTAGAGAGAGCAATGCAGAAGGGAGGCAGCCCACCTGGCAGCTCTAGACAAGCTGGACATGACACTGCTGGAGTGCAGAATATATCTCCTCCTTTCTCTCTTTTTACCCAGAATCCTGTTTAGTTTGGAACCACAACTATGCCTTTTGCTTTTTACACCTTACCCTCTTTCACCTTGAAAGCAGACAATGACGGGGTTAGTAAGGGACAACAGAAAACAGCAGCCTTCTCCTGCTGTTAGCCAATTCTGCAACTCAAGCAGAAGTCTGTACTACCCTTTGGAAGTTCCAGGATTCAAACACTGTTATTAAACAAGATGGAAGGTCAATTACAGTGGAAAGTAAAGAGGGACGCAGGTTAGAAAATTACAATCACCTGAAAGAAGCACATCCAAGTTAAAAACAAACTACCTAGCTTGTAAAAATTAGGTACCTAAAGCTGAAGAATGTCAATTTTCTTTAGGTTAAAAAGACCGCCTCGATGGTCTAGTCTCCAATTATATATATAACCGTGGTTTCGGAGTCCTTGCTTCATGCAGTTCACAGCCAGGTTATGTTGCAGATAACCTCAGAAAAATTTAACAGTTCCTAACCTCACTTAAGCACTTAAGTGCAATATCACTAACATCCTTTCAACATGTTATGAATTTGTTTTTCCTGCATGCACCACACAAATATTAATTCCCTAGGTCTCTTTTCCACTAATATGCAGCTTTGGAAATAATAGCCCTCTCATGACAAGTTTTTCATGGTTTATATACCTGTATCTTTCTGACAGCTGCTTGTATTATTCCTGTGCTCTCTGATCACAGTTTGCTCATTTTTCCCATCTACTGACTTTGCAATTAAAACTGTAAGAAACAAATCATGTTTGTCTGATATTTTTCATTTTATTCCATCATCCTAGATCCCTGAAATGCCTTCTAGTATCCATTTTGAAAGTAATGTTTCTAACTAAAAGCGTATCTAAAACAGGAATATCACAAGATATTGAAACTTCAGTGTATACTTAATATTCACAAATAAATATTGGGGGAAAATTTAATTATATGATTTGGTAACTCTTCAGAAACTGAACCTAAAAATCTAGTTTCTAAATTCTTATTCAGGTATCCATTAAAAGAATTTTTCTGAGCATTTTACTATTTCAAGAATGCAAAAGACTTCAAATTGACAAGATTTTAAACTGTCCTCAGAACAGACCATGGAGATGTTTTTCATGTAAGGGAACTATTTTTAACTGTGAAATTAAACTAAAAGTTTGGACATTATAAAGAAAATATTGCTAACTGAATTTTACTGACTTAACAACATACCCAAGTTAAGAACCAGTGGAAAAAAACCAGCAGTAATAACATTGTATGATTTTCAGCCATCTTGGCTGATTACACAAGCGTGCTATCTTCAAGGGAAACAGAAAGAAGAATGTAATTTTCTATAATTTCCAACACAGTATTTAATGAAAAGAGGGAAACATCTTCTTTCAAGTGACAAGAAAAAACAGAAGGTTTTAAAGTTTTTTTGTTGTTGGTTTGGGGTTTTTTGTTGTTGTTGGTTTTTGTTGTTTTTTTGGTTTTTTGTTGTTGTTTTTTTTTTTTTTTTTTTTTAATTTTTCAATTTTCCATTTCTTACTGGGGACCTGACTGCAAAAATCTGGCCCTTCTTTTTTTTTTTTTTTTTTTTTTTTTTTTTTTTTAAATTCTCAATTCTCCATTACTTACTGAGGACCTGACTGCAGAAATCTGCGCTCTAAAGAATATGCTTGTCAATGTCATCTCAGATAAGCACATTTTATTTTTTCCACACCTCATGGGTTTGTGATGATCCTGACACGCACAGCTCTTTTTCAGTACTCTTGAATTCAAAGGCAAAGAGCTTCACTCATCTATTAGAGTTCGGACTTATCAGTTTTCTGATGCATCATGTTCCTTACCTTCCATGGGTATGGAAAGCATTTAAATAAGGGGCTCTGCACCCACACAGTGGAGGCCGCAAGACCTCACAGGCAGAAAAGGAACAAACAAGTCTTTGTTTCTAGAAAAGGGGGATTTGAGGGAGGAGGAGGAGGGGCAGACAAGTTAAAAAACACGGCAACTTAAGACAATAAAAAAAGATCTTGCCGTCCTATAATATGGCTTAACTTTACAATCTGCAGAATACAGTCAATTGTAATAGCTGCAATATGCTTTTAAGAACAGAGAATTCGTGGTCTTCAAATGTTAGACATTAAATGTTCTACTGTCCAAACTCAACAGCAAAATGCCTGTTCTGTACTGTAGCAGATAATACTTGACAATTACTGAAAAAACTTTAGACTGCTGTCTGCATCCCGGGGGGGGAGGGGAGACAGACACCAAAACAAAAAACAAACACCCCCACCCCAAACCAAGAGAGAGAAACAATTACCAGTCATTGGTGCTAGGGAGAAAAGGCCAGCAGATTGTTAACAACTCAGACATAAAAGGCTAATTCTCTCCCAAGATCCTACGCCGATTTAAATCGCCCGTCCCAGGGCCCTGGCAGTTTGCAGTAACAGTACCTTTCCCTAGGCAGAATCACATGCAAAGATTGCTGTAGAGCGCCCTTAATCATTAACAGACACAGCTGAATGTTTGGTGGTTTTTCTTTTGTATTTATCATTTCACCCTTCAAAACTAAAACTAATTCTAATCTGCAAATTTAAAGACATTATTTATTTGAACAAACAATAACAAA